GTCCTACTCTTGCTTCACCAACTGTGACATTTACACTGGAACAAGTGCAGTCTATGCTTTCTCAGTCACACCTCGCCTGTGAGCCCACTACCTCTTCTTCAAGTAAGTCTGTTTCTACTTCTTGGCTGCTCAACTCAGGAGCTTCTAATTATATGACCTTCAATGAGTCAATTCTAGTTGATTGTAAGTATTTTTCTGATACTATCTATACTGCTGATGGAGCCACTATGAAAGTGTCAAAAGTGGATTCTATATCTCTCACCTCTGACCCATCTAATAAATTAGGTGTTTCTAATGTTTATTATGTTCCTTCCCTTGCCATGAATTTATTGTATGTTGGCTAGATTACCCATTCTAATTGTAATGTTGTTTTTCTCCATCTTCTTGCTATGTACAGGATCGACAGTCAGGGAAATTGATTGGGACTGGGCGTAAAGTTGGTAATTTATACTGCCTGGACTATCTGCATTTGCCAACCTCTTCTGTCTGTGTTGTTGCTTCTGTTAATGACACATTGCTATGGCATCAACGTCTTGGTCATATATCTAGTTCTCGTTTACAGTTTTTATTTTCCTGCAATGTGATTGGTATTGTTAGAAATAAAATTTTTACTGATGTCCAACATTGTGCAACTTGCAAATTCGCTAAATCTCATGCTTTACATTTTTCTCGTAGTACTTCTGTTTCACCTTTCATGTTCGATCTTGTTCATACTGATGTGTGGGGTCCTGCACCTATTCCTTCTAAAGGAGGGTCACGTTATTTCGTAAACTTTATTGATGATCATACTCGTTATACACGGGTTTTCTTTATGCATAATCACACTGAATTTTTTAAAATCTTCACTCAGTTTTATTCGTATGTAGAAACTCAATTTTCCACTAAAATCAAAGCTCTATGCTCAGATTCTAGCGGAGAATATATCAATGGGTTGCTTCACCAGAAAACATGTCCTTATACACCAGAACAAAATGGTGTTGTTGAGCGTAAAAATTGTCATATATTGGAAACCACCAGATCTCTTCTTTTTTCTACATCTGTCTCAAAAGACTTTTGGACAGAAGCTGTGCGTATAACAATTTTTCTCATCAACATCATGTCATCCTTCTTTATATCTGGTGCCACACTTTTCCAAAAATTGTTTAAATAATCACTCGATTATTCCCTCCTACATGTATTTGGTTGCACTTGCTTTGTATTGTTACATCCATCTCCAAGAGATAAGTTATCTCCCAAGACGGTCAAATGTTGTTTTATCAGTTACCTTGATCATCAAAAAGGATATAGATGTTATGATCCTGTGACTAAAACACTTTGGGTATCTCGACATGTGGTGTTTTTTTAACACATTCCATTCTTTGAAAATACCATAAATACTCTGTCACCCTCTCACCTTTCCTTTTTAGATCCCTTCTTTGATTCTGTCTCTCATTCCTTTGGTCATTCCACCAATGATCCTCTTTCTAAAATCCAGGAAAGAACTTCACCAACTCATGCTGACAGTCCTAATTAGAACCCTGCACCTGCTGATTAGACAAAGCACCCGTGTCTCTGTTCCACCTGCCTGACTTGCAAACTATGACACCTTCTTACCTCAGCACCAAGCATTCATTGCCTTGTTTATTCTTTTTCTGACCCTCAAACTTACTAATAAGCTACAAGTCAACATGTGTGACAACAAGAAATGGCTAATGAGTTAAATACTCTCGAGCGTATGCATGCTTGGGACCTTGAAACTTTCCTAAAAGGAAAATCTGCTATCGGTTGTCGATGGGTATATAAAATTAAAACTAACGCCGATGACAGTTTAGAATGATACAAAGCCCACCTCGGGGCAAAAGGCTACAATCAGCGATATGGTGTTGCCTTTGCAGAAACCTTTGCTCCTGTAGCTCATATGACTACAGTTCGTATACTAATCTCAGTAGCCTCTATTCAACAATGACCTCTCTATCAATTAGATGTCAAAAATGCTTTTCTCAATGGTGATTTGATACGAAAATATATATGAAGTTACCTCCTGGTGTTGTGGATTATAAACTCCGCATTCGTAAACTTCAATGGGCCTGTTATGGACTCAAACAAGCACCTCGTGTTTGGTTTGAGAAGTTTCGTAATGCAGTTATTTCAGTTGGATTTCGACAAAGTCATCATGACCCAGCACTCTTTGTTTCTGAAACTTTTGCAGGACAAGTTCTCTTGTTACTATACATGGATGATATGATTATCTCTGGTAATGATATGGGCACAATTCATAAAATCAAACAGAAGCGCAGTAGAACATTTGAAATGAAAGATTTGGGTTTCTTGTAGTATTTCCTTGGACTCGGAGTTGCCTATTCTTCTCGTGGCTAACTGTTGTCACAACTAAAATATGCTTCAGAGATCGTTTCTCAAGCTTGACTCCAGAATGATTCAAAGAAAGTTGATACCCCTCTTGAGGTCAATGACAAAATTTGGGCTACTGATGGGGAAACTTGTCCTGACCCGACCTTTTATAGGCAACTGGTTGGGAAACTGATATATCTAACAATTTCACCTCTCGATATTGCTTATGTAGTACATGTGGTTAGTCAGTTTTTGAGTGCCTCGCGTTCTGCCCATCTCGCTGCCGTTTTGCGCATCATTCATTATATTAGGGATTCTTGTCACCAAACCTTATTCTTCTCATCTTATATGTCACTTGAGCTCTGGGCCTATACAGACTATGATTTTGCAAGAAATCCAAGTGATCGAAAGTCTATCACAGAATTCTGTATTTTTCTCGATGATTCTTTTATCTCTTGGAAAAGCAAGAAACAAAAACGAATTACTCAACCAACTACGGAAACTGAATACTGAGCTAGGGCCCAAACTACCACCGAGATTGTTTGACTACGTTGGCTGCTTGAAGACATGGGTGTCACTATCTCAACTCTTACTCCATTTTATTATGACAACAAGAGTGCCATCTACATCTCTAAATATCTAGAGTTCCATGAACGCACGAAACATATTGAAGTCGATTGCCACTATGTTCGACAATAATATCTCGCAGGCACAATTTCCTTACCATATGTACCCACCACAACTCAACTCGCCAACTTCTTTACTAAGTCTCATCCCCCACACCCTTTCTCAAAATTTGTTTCTAAACTATCAATGATTCCTTTCAAATCATCTTGAGTTTACGGGGGAGTGTTAGTGTATACATATTATCGTGTATATCTATACACACCATTATGAAAACGTACGTGTATAGGTGTCTAGTTAGTAATTATCAGTAATGGTTGGTATCTATCCATAACTGTTATTGGTATGTATCCAGAAATGTTATTAGTCGTATATTATCGGTATGTATCCAAAAATGTTATTAGTCGTATATTTATATGGGTCTTGTACATTCTTAATTATTATTGAATACAGAGAAAGATCTTCTCTCACAATATTCACACTTGTGATCATCCCTTGAAATCGATGATATTGGATCTTAGTAAGAGAAAACTTTGTAATTAAGAAATCATTAAAAGAAATATTATTCAAGTAGCTGCTCAGTATCTCCTTATCAAGAATATTTATCATAGAGAATGTGTTTAGATCTAAAACTCTTTCTAAGAAGCTCATTTGCATGAGTTTCTAAACACTTAGATCGGACTTATCAAAAAATGGATGCGCTCTATGCAACCTAAAGACATCAAATTTTTCAGGTGCACATAGAATGCATATTAATATTTTATGGAGGTTGGTCAATAGGTCAAGTAGTTCCTAAAAATACCCCTAAATAGGCTTTTTATTGAAGGGAGTGTATAACTGCAGGTTTATATAATCCTTGAGGCAAAATACAAACGCATAATATGGTTAAAGCTGTATAGCTTTGGGAATGGTATAAAGGATAGGAGGTCGGAATAGGTGCCACAACATAACTTTTTGAGTTCTAGTGCTACCTATAAGTACAAAACTCTTTCTCCCAAGCAAAACAAAAATGCACATGGTTTTTTTATCAAAAGGCAATACACCTTATTGTAAGTATATTGCTTAACATCAAAGTAGATTTAAATAAACTTTTCTTGCCAACAAACGTTGGAAATGAGCAGTTCCTATCACATAGTCAGCTTGATAGGGTAAGAGAGATTCATCTCCACCGTCCAATGTTGGTGCATGTTGTATGTGATACAATAACACTTTACTACATGTAGCGTACTAATGGAACCAGGTCCCAACCCTGTCTCCCCTCTCTCTTTTATGTAGTATGCTCGTCAAGCTCAGACTCGTTAGCGAATCAATGAGGGATTTGGTCCAATCAAATTTGTTCAACCACTAGCCAAACAGGTTAGACCGGATTATAGAAAAAAAAATAAAGACATAAGAATAGATATAATAATTTAAAAATATAAAATGTCAACCCCAAATAGTTAAAAAAAAACTATGATGATGATGATGAATGAATTTAAAAATGCAAAATATATTAAAAATGTGCCCCTCTTCATTTAGATGGTGGAACCAGTTAAAAAAAACCAGCTCGACAGAAATATATTAAAAATGTGGCCCTCTTCATTTAGATGGTGGAGCCAGTTAAAAAACCAGCTCGACAGACCAGCCCAAATCAATCAAAATTTGGATTTGACATGTTTTCGACTTCAATTTGACTTTTATTTTGAACCACACTGTCCAAGACACTAGCCGACATTCCAACCAGTCAACTCAGTTCAGTCCGATCTTGATAAGTATGGTAGAAGTGGATGTCCCCTCTCTCTCTAGTATGGCATTTTATCTTCCAACAATGGATACGTATATAGCCTTCTCCCACATTTTATTTACAATTAGATACAATAAGTAAAAGGTTGGAGGATTAAGAATATGCTGGCCGGCTGACGAATCCAAAACAAGAAAACGAGTTCACCTAATGAGCTTTATACCTTATATCTTTCAACTAGTGCCTATTTTCTTCTCTGTATCTCTCTCAATCTATTCTACATCTATCTGTATCTCGCTCTACATCACTCCCAGTCTATTCTCTGTCTCTATGGCAACACCCGCCATCATCTCTTCGACCAATACCAGTGATAATTCTGGATCGGGTCCGGGATTGCTTATAGCCTTGTCGAGTAAGCTCTTTTCTATCCCTCAAATTTCAATTCCTTTTGCTTTTTATTTATGATAGTGGGAGAGCGAGAGATTTATGCAAATACGCTGAGTTGTTTTCGGAGTTAATTATCGAAAGAAGCCATTAATGGACTTTACAAAAGCCCAAATACATTTGTTTAGGGGTTCGAAAAATTAGACTTTTGATAAGATTGCACTAGAGAATAAAAACAGTAGATTTTCAGTAAATTTCTTTTTTAGTTTGCCGAGTTTGTACACTGCTTGTCAGCTCGGACAAGGTACTCAGCTGAGCCTGAGTCAACTCGGGCGAGTCCCTAAATACTCTTGTGTTCCCTATGTGTTTCTCGCTTATCTTAGGATTTTTATTAGGTTCTTCTTTCACCTAATGTACTCATCTCTTTTAGTTTAACTTCACTGGTACCTCGGATTTAATTTCTGACAGATTTATATTTTATGTTCCTTCATCTTTCAGCGTTCTTCGGCGTCCTTGTAGTGTTTTCCTGCATTCGCTGCTTCATAAACAAGAAAAACATTGATAATCTGGCTGACCAGCTCAACAAAATTGATGACTTTCTTTCCAACTTGGAGAAGCTCAAGCCGATGAGGTTCTCCTCAGAACAGCTCATCATCGCCACAGAAGACTTCGCCCACATGCTCGGTGCAGGTGGTTGCGGTACAGTCTATAAGGGCTCATTCCCGAACAGTGCTACAGTAGCAGTAAAGGTTCTGAGGGGAAGCTCCGACCAACAAATCGAAGCGCAATTCATGGCAGAGGTGAGCACTATAGGAAGAATCCACCATTTCAATTTGGTGAGGCTCATCGGCTTTTGCTTCGAAAATAGCATGCAGGCTCTCGTTTACGAGTTCATGGAGAACGGCTCACTCGATGGGTTCCTGTTCAGAAACAAGGAAAGGATCCCATTTGATAAGCTTCACGAGATCGCACTGGGGACAGCGAAGGGCATAGCGTACCTCCACGAAGAGTGCCAGCAAAGGATAATCCACTATGACATAAAACCTGGCAATATATTGCTTGATCAAAACTTGTCCCCCAAAGTCGCAGATTTCGGTTTGGCGAAGCTTTGCAATAGGGACGCAACCCATGTCACCATGACAGGGGGGAGGGGAAGGGGGACCCCGGGTTACGCGGCGCCGGAGCTATGGATGCCATTCCCTGTTACTTATAAGTGTGATGTCTACAGTTATGGGATGTTACTATTTGAGATTGTGGGGAGGAGAAGAAATCTGGAATTCAATCTTCCCGAGAGTCAAGAGTGGTTCCCCAAATGGGTCCAGGAAAAGTTTAAGAAAAAAGAGATAGATGAGATTGCAAAGATTTGTGAGATTGAGGAAGATAATGGAGAAAGAGCAGAGAGAATGGTTAAGGTTGCTCTTTGGTGTGTTCAGCAGAAGCCTGAAATGAGGCCTTGTATGAGCAGTGTAGTGAAAATGCTAGGAGGAGGGGTTGAAATCATTTCACCACCAAATCCATTTGCACATATGATAGATGGAATGCATACAGTAGATTTTCTACCATTTAGAAACACAAATGAAGAATCATGTAAAGCCTCATGCAGTGGTAATGTTAAAGAAAGTGTATATTCTATATATCCTTAATTATTATATGAGAAAGGTAGATGCAGTAACGTGTATTTTTATGGTAAGTCTGGGCATGTTCTAGGTGTCCACGATTTATTTTATTTTTTTATGTGTATTTGTTTATATAAAACAAACTTGTATAATCATATTTATCAATGGATATTGAATCTCTTAAGAGAAACTTAAACCTCTTTACATAGCATTAGAGTCAGATTCATCTTTGTTGTCTTCAGTATTGTGTGATCGAGACTTATACTCTGTTATTACTCAATCTTGTCCCTATTCAACTCCTAAACTTGCTGTGAAACCGTATGAATGTGAAATCTCTGAAACGTGACTGTATGTCCGCTACTGTTCTATGTTCTCTTATTTTGTCTATCGTTTCTGAGGCTACTGAATCAGTCTTGGTTCTATATGCTTCGAGCTTCGATTTTCTGTTGAGGAAGGCCGGTCTCAAAACTTATCCGTTGTTGAGTGTTGATCATTTTGTGTTGTCTACCTTTTTCTTCCATCCGGCTCTAATGCCCCTCCTTTCATCTTGCAACAAGTAAAAAATTAAAACACCAAGGAGGTTGAAGATTCTAGGGACCTTTTCATCTTGAACAAGTAAAAACTTAAAATACCAAGGAGGTTGAGGATTCTAGGGACCTTGCTTGCTACTTCCTTCTATCTTTTGAGTTATGTAGCCACTACTGAGAGAATCCATTTGCCCCTGCAACCCAGATTTCCCTCGGCCCTCGTCTAGATTTTCAGCTTCTCAGATCCCAAAGCCCCCTCAACCACTTGTCCAGCCACAGTTCTCCCCTAGCCACTATGATCTAAAGCCTTTGAAATTGACCCTCTGAAACCCAATATGAAAAATCAGCCAAAGAATAAATAAATAAATCTTGTTCTGTCCTTCTAAACATCCTTTTTTCCTTTGAAAATTCAGCCATTTGCCTTATCTCAACCAGATTTGTTAGTAAATCCTTCTGGAAAATTGTCTCGAAAAAAAAACTAAAAAAATACCACAAAAACCATTAGATCTTAAATAATGACCTTTCTGCCCTCTAAAAAACGCCTCTCTAAAAATGGCCCCTGAAAAATCGAAATATCTGACATCCAACCTTCCCTCTGAAATCAACTAGCCTTTGAGTAACAACATTTGAAAAAGCCCGCCAAAATCTGATATAAAACCGCCATATGATGAATCTTCCACTTTTGTTTTTGCTTTTCTGCCCCATTTTTCGATGGTTTTTCTATAGCGTGATAAGTTGTTGCTTAGGTCTTTGACCAGATTAAGAAAGGTGTTTTGGATAAGAGAGAGAGAGAGGAGAGACTTGTCTCTTAATAAGGTTGGCACCGGGACAGTCCTGGGCAAGGCCGCACTTGGCCCTGGCCAAGCCCCACAGGGCTCACCCAGGCCTGGCCTTGGCGTTGATAGGGACGTGCCAGCCAAAAACAAATGAAGAAATATAAAAGAAAAAAGGAGGGTTGCGTTGGGCTGAACCAGGCCGGCATTAGCCCTAACATAACCCTCAAGGCACAATTTGTGGCCCAAACCCCACTTTATTAAGGCTAGGCAGCCCAATCCATCGCAAGCCCTAAACCTTTTGTAAACTCAACTCAGTCGTTTGTCAAAGACTTGACCAAGTTAAAATCGTTAACAATAAAACTTTCAGTACCGACGACACTCAACCACTTCCCAAAGTTTCTGCTCCAGAGTCAAGAATCTGCGAGTCCCAATAACCTGGGCGAGTCCAAATCTGATTACTGAGTTTTGATCGTTGTTTGCTATGAAAGGCACTTTTATACTGCTCACTACTTTCTTCTTTCTTTCTAATTTATACATGATGCCTTGATCCATTGTTAAAAGGTCCAAACGCAGTATCCATTATTTTAAAACCCAACGTTCTGGATCAGAATTCACCAATTCAAATCACTAAGTTTTTTAGTGTTGCATTTGTAGTGACTGGGTGATCCAAAACCCAATTCCGCATTTCAAAATATTGGTATTATCTTTGCTATTCGATAGAACCAAATAACATAATAAAGAAAACATCATGTATTTTTTTTGGGTGAATAAGCATCAAGTATTCCTACACATTGTTGTTGTATCATGCTTCTTTTATTTTTCTTTTGAGAAATTATCTTATAGCACAATCTCTTACCCATATTTGTAGGACCTCCAAAAGATCACCATTAAAGTTGGTATGGATCTCTATAAAAGTCAAGTCCCACACCTATATGATAATTTTTGTAAAGATCTGTACTAACTTTAAAGGTGATCTTTTGGAATCCTACACACATGATTGGAAAAAAGTCCTATAAAATCATTACTCTTTTCTTTTTTATGTTTTTTTCATTTGGGTCCTAACCCATTGAACAATTATAAAAAAAAAACAGCAGCCCCAAATATCAAGATAGACAAAATAGGTGACCAAAATGATGCAAAGACGCGTTAATCTTTTTGTCAATGACCAAATCTCCCTTTCAGTCGTTGATTGTGATATTCTAAGCCATAAATATGTCACATCGCTATTGTATAGACTTATCGGGGTCGTTTAAATATGTGCAATATTAATGAGGTTGAACTTTAGGCTTTAAAAATATGGGTTTTTTTAAGATTGGGTCTCTAGCACACCAAACCAGTCTCGTGAAAGCTGATACGTTAATGCGCATCCATTTTTTTATTATTATGAAAGGAGAATCGGCCAATATCACAAAATAGTGTAAAATCTTTAAATTCCAATACCCTGGATCTAAAGCGCCAATAATGGATGAAAGTTTGTTGAGATGTTTTTTATTGTATTTACTTTGTGTTTCTTTCATTGTGTGCATACTTGCAATTTTTATCATCTCAATGAAATCTAATTAACATTCAAAATATGAGAAACGGCCACGTCACTTAAACGAAACAAACAATGGCAATCGATAAAAATTATGCAATCACGAGTTAATATCTTAATACTTTGTTAATTATCGGATTGGTCTTCTGGTCTATTATCCTAATAAAAAAGCAAGAGGATTATATAGTCCCGAGGGAGCATATTGTGTGTTCACTACCTCAAGTAAAGCCCTTTTTTGAAATATTATTAAAACTCAAATTTTAGAATGTAACCTCTTCAACCTAGTGGCCAATCTAGAAATTCATGTTTTACAATCCCCGAAAAAGTTAAAATTTTATAATTAAAGCTATTTAATATCTAGATCATCATCATTATCATAGTTTTTTCCAATTAATGGGTTAGCATGACGATAAATATAAGTGTTTAGAATCTCAAAATCCAATTATTATTTTTTATTATTAGTTTTTTTTTTCGATGGAAAGATATAGTATGCTCTAGAGGGTAATGGTACCAATCAGTGTTTTAAAAAACCGCGAGTCGAACCAGACTCGCCCGGTTCAACTCGAAAACACGCGTGCCCGTGCCGGTTCCAACGAAAAATGGGGAACCGCCCGGGTTCTAAAGTGGGACCGCCGGTTCTATCCGGTTCAGCCCGATTCACACACGTAACGTATGACACGCACGTACGAGCGTGCCCCACGCACACTTACACGTGCACACGTGTGTCCAAGTGCACGTGCGAGCGTGCCCCACGCACACTCACACATGCACACGTGTGTCAAAGGGCACGTGCGAGCGTGCCCCACACACACTCACACGTGCACTCGTGTGTCCAAAAGCACGTGCGAACGTGCCCCCCGTACACTCACGTGTGCACACGCGTGGCAAGCGCACGTGCAAGCGTGCCCCACGCACACTCATGCGTACACACGTGTATCCAAACACACGTGTGAGCTTGCCCTAATATTTTTACACACATTTTATAGTTCATATTGCATATGTATTTATATACCAAAGTTGAATACCCATCTTTCAATGTGGGATAATTCCTAAACATCATTAAATGAAAACGAAATGTAAATATAGTCTATTAATCAGCAATTTATAATTAGATGTAATTAGATGGCTTGATGGTTATGACTTTGATTTTTTTACTTGAAGTCCCAAGGTCGAATACCCGAATCCCCTTAGGCATCCCCTTGGGCATGTGTTGGATTCGAATCCCCTTGGGCAGTTGCATTTTTTGTTATGTATATAGTGGTTGGTATAAATATAAATATTTTTGTTGTATTCGAATCCCCTTGGGCATGTGTTGCATTTTTGTTGTATATATGGTGGTTGGTATAAATATAAATATTTTTATTGTGTATATAGTGGTTGGTATAAATATAAATAGTTTTGTAAATAATATAAAAGATATAAAAAAAATGAAAAATAAAAAAATTAATTTTTTATATAACAGTTAATTTTTGTTATATATAGTGGTATAATTATTTTTGTAAATAATATGCAAAGTATAAAAAAAATAAAAATAAAAATAAAAAGTTTATTCTATTTGAAATCTCCATCTTTCTACTAACAATCTCTTTTACTAAATTTATTATAGAAAACTAAAAAAATAAATTTTTGAAAAATTGAAGTGTTATTTCCAAAATTTGTACGCATTTTATTAATTTTTACATTGATAACCAAGTCTTTTATTTTATTTATGAATTTTTACATTATAAATCATGTAATGTGCTATTTTTCTTACAGTTGTCAATAATACATTTTAAATTAGATAATATTATAAAATATTTGTAATTTGTTATGATTTTTCTAATAAAATAATTATTAAATGTAAACTAATAATTATAATTTCAGTATATAATATTATAATTAGTGAGGTTGTAATAATTTTGGATTATAGTTAGTTAGGCTGTAATAGTTTGGATTTTTTTAGCGGGTTAGGGTTCTTCGCCAAAACGAGATTTTAATGGCCATTCTTTCATTGATTAGTCTACTCTTTATAATAGTCCATATATAATTATATATTTTATCCATGATAATTCTATGATTTTTCTTTTATGTGATGCAAATTTAATAGTTAAAATAAGTTCATACAGGGAAAGAACATCTCAATATTCACAAATTGATAAAAAAAATAGAAGTTAATAATGTAGTACCCTCATTTTTTATTGGATTCCTAAA